GAAGAACACGAAGATCTCAAACCCTAGTTACAAGAAGAAGGAAAGACTCAGAAGGCCCTAGAAGAAACGAGAGCAGCTCAAAACCAGCAGAATGAAAAAATGTCTCCAAAGTGATATATATATCACACACCAACAAACCACGGATCCAAGGGCCAACAACAGACCACGTGTCACCATCAGAAGATAAGTTGCATTACTAAAAGAGTCACATTTTGTAAACACGATTTCAGCCAATTTTGGGAGCACACATCACAGATCTGGGTTCGAGCCTCAACAACATTCTTGGAAGTTAATAAGATTAGTATTGAGAAGATCATGAGGCATTGAAGGAAGAAAAGTAAACGAATGAGGGAAATGTGGGTGATTTGGAGGTTTAAAAGGGCATGTGTTTTTGGATGAAAAGAGAGTTGGATGTCTTACAAATAAAAAATAGGGAGTTAAAGCTTGAGTTAGAGGAATTGAAAGTAGGACATTTGGCAAGAAATAGAGGTAATGCTACATGTTCCATTGAGTGTCTTAAAGATAAGGGGATGCCACCAGTTGATAGTCCTTCAAGTGAGTTTAAACAGTCGAGGAACAAGAAGAGCTATAAGGGAGAAGAAAATGGGAATGGGATGAAAGAGCTGAAGAGGAATGGTACCCCAGCCGGTGATTTGGAGAATAAGTTGTAGAGAGCTATTAAGGCCACTTCTGCTTCATGAATCATGATGCATGACTTCATATGTAATGTTGATATGCTTCATAATCACTTTTACTAATTGTTGATCAAAATATGCATAGTATCACTGCATAAGTTTGCATTATGTATTTCCACTGTGCATTTAAATTTCTCCATCATAATGTATGCAAATTCGACTTAATAATTATATTGTGTATGCTCCTCTTTATATAATGCTGAATTATTATTTACAAATGTTAATAGATTTCCAGTATTGCTATTTGGTTATGTGCATATTGCACTTAATGGTAGAGAAAAGCAGAAGATTAGATTTTCACTTAAGTTTGATACTATATGATATCTTAGGACAAATGTTTCAATGCTCCTTTCTTTGGGTTTAATATCAGCTTGAAGTTTTACTGCAAATATTCGGAATGTTGTGTAAAACGGTAATGAGTTCATTATGAAGTTAAAAAGGCATTGTCATTTGTGACTACTGTTGTTGTGATATTGTATCAAAACAGTAAGGTGAATATTTAGAACAAATTTTAAGTTGTTCTGCACAGAGAATTGTAAGTGTTATGCCTTATGCCCAATCAACTTTGGACATAAACACTTTAAATATATATAATTGATGCATGTATGGCAATATCTATTATTTAATTGAATTAATATTCTAATAAATTAAATAATAAAATCCGTATATTCAAGTTTTGGT